AGAATCCTCCCGAGTCCTTTCTCCAGGCTGCTTTCATGTTACAGGACGAACAATGTGTGGATTTAATGGACAATGGGATCGCTGCAGGAGATCACAATATCACGTAAGTGTACATCCCCTCTTACAAAGACTTCAGACAAAGCTGCAGACTAAAAATAGACTCGAAGCTGTTTTCTAATGAGGGCAGGCCTGCCTGCAGTTTTGTGTGTGCACACAAACAGAGCATCAACATCATACGGGTCTGGCTGTGCAGACACTGCACCAAGCAAGATTACAGCTTAAAAAAAACACACTGTCGCCTCTTGTGTTTTTTAAGCGCATACAGCAAATAAAAAGAGTAAGAGCTGATTAGTAGAATCACATGCAACTACACTCATTGTTTTAAATGTAACGACTTTTAAAGTTGACCTAATCTAAAGATGTGGTCAGATTCATGTGATGTAAGTGCCTTTGGAGGTTGCGTGGTTGCTTGTGCCAGAGCACAAACAAACCATTAGCACTTTGTTGATGTCAGAGGTGAACGGTCATTCTGATGTGATGTGATTGGAGGGTAACAGTAATGCAAATAAACAGTGGTTATAAAGCAAGTTATGCAGAACCTTGAAGCAGGAGCAGAAGATCACAACAGGTACCACTCCTTTCACCTAAGAACCGAAAACTGAAGCTCAACAAAACTGAATGGTACTTATAGTAGATTGGAAAAACATTGCCTGGTCTGATGACTATCGATTTCTTCTGCAACATTTGGACTACCAAGTAAGCATTGTTTAAACACCTGAACGCTATTGCTGACCATGTCCATCCCTCTACGACCATAGTGTTCCCATCAGAAGATGGGTACACTGTGGTCATAAAGGGATCCAGCAGGATAACTCACCATTTAAGAAATTCACTGTACTCAAATGGCCTATAAAGCCACCAAATCTTATCCAAAAGAGCATTTTTCAGATGTGGTTCAATGTAGGAGTGCATCATGGATGTGCAGCAGACAATTCTGCTGCCACTGTGTGATGCTGTGATGTAAATATGAACCAAAATCGCTGAGCAGGGATTCCAGCACCTTGTACCACAAAGAATTAAGGTAGTTCTGTAGGCAAAAGGTACTAGCATAGTGTAACTAATAAAGTGACGGTGTGTGAATGTATGTGTGCTTAAAGAATAGTTTCCTAATTTTGCAAGTCTATCTTAAAACAACACCCATTTCCTGTTGTCACAAACAAAAAGGGCGACTATTGCTACTTTGCTCTTCCTGCTGTTATCGTTCTGGCTTTTAAGATATAAGGCCGAGGTATCTGTGTCCAAGTCTATATCAGTATTATTGATTGGGACAAAATCCACAGCTCCCTCTCTTTATTTTTGAACGTTTATCTGAAGAATGTGGTTGTGGTCTTAAAAGGAATTTTAAAAAATGAAATTAGAAGATTCTTTACCGTCCTATAAACTTCAAGTAACTGCATTTTTATGCATCAACTACATCATCGATCATGTGTGTGGAAGGGTTTTCTTGGTGTTCAGATATGTCCACCGAGTTAAACGAAAAATGATTATCATTAATTATGCATATATGAATGCTTTGTTGTCAGTAAACAGATTGTTATTTAGAGAGAAACTCAAATCTTTCATCTTTAGTGATTTATACTGAAGTGTGAAAATTCATCATTAAGGGTGGGCGGGGAAAGTTGTCAGATGTCATCTTTACGGGGGAAAGAGTTAAAAACGCCTGTTCTTTAACTTTTAAACATTAACTAGGTCTGTGTTTGTCCGTTTGCCAAAGGTCACATGATCATTGATTCATTCATACCAGTGAACCTTCACATTCAGTCATAGGTACTCTCATTCACTTCAATTTTGACTCCCTTCGTATGCAATAACAAAGATTTGGTCTCTTGGTGTGAAAAAGTGAAGCTGTTTCAACTGTGCAGGAGTCTATGACAACATTACCCTGCTGCTCACTTGATTTACGAACTCAGTAGATACTTTCCTGATTGGTTATGGCTTCAGTCGATAGTTTTAAGTCTTATTTACTACAACATGATCATCATTTTGTTTACAGCACAGTAGACAATAAAGAAGATTGTGCTTTAGGTTCGAGCTCACTTGTTATTGAGAAGTTGCCGCCACATCAACAGTCAGGTCCACCCCCTAACTCGTGACTGGTGGTTCTTAAAAACATTCTGGTGGCAGGCAAAATGCCAAACTTCAGGTTTCAGAAGTCACAAACAAACGTCACACCTGTTCAGTTGAGGAGCTTCCTCATCCAACCTGACAGCCGCACACTGTGCAAGCCAAAACTCACCAGCATTTTTGAACAGTACACATAAGCTAAAGAATAAAACTGTAAATCTTGTGACAAAATCCTATGTTTAGAATTTTTGTCACCAGCTAATCTCATAAGTCACATGTGGCACTAACTTTTTCTTTTACCTAAACGTTTTCAGAAAGAGGAAGTAGTGAGTGTGATGTCCCGTGGTTTCTCTATTTGGGGATCGAATTTTAAAGAAATATAAATTCGATGACATGTGACAATTTCCTGTCCAGCGGTTTGCTGATGTTGGCACTTATCAGACTGGCACGAATGAAGAGTGTGTCTGACTGCCCGTTATGCAATACAGGACACACACACAGATTTCCATCACTTCTGCGGATTGATCACAGTCATTTTCTGCAGAAGACTCGCACTAAAATACTGATTTATGCATGTATGTATGTTTATGTCCAATCACATGAATAATCATATAGATGCATGTGTTTTCATATCAGAACACTCATTTACTTTTTCTAAAGCCCATAACCCTAAAGGCAACCATAATGACACCTGCACCTGGTTCGATTCATAATCAGACAAATTTCTAAGCTTCCAGATACACCCAAAAAGCTCCAGCATCACTTTTATGAAGCACATTATTACCAAAGTCCTCTTTGGTGATCTGATCTTATAGTGAAATGCATCCCTGTCTTTTTTTTGCAGACTCAGATGAAAATCTAGCTTTGTTGTAGCCTAGCTTATAACAAAAACTGTAACAAAATCCATTCATCGATACCTGTAAAGTTGTTGATTGGTGGGTGTTGGTCAAAGTTTGCAGTGACAGTAGGAGAGACCTTGACTCCCTATGAGGCCCCCACCTGACTCCAGTCACTCACGTTTTGCGATGTGCATGATCCTGTTTAAACAAACCAAAAGACAACAACAAAAACCAATGAGTGAAAATTTTGAGGATTTAAAGTTCTGTGAGTGAAAAAGAGGAAGAGGAGAAAAATGCTAGAGCAGACAGTGGTGAGTGGAGCAGATAATAATGAATAAATATAATGCAAAATAATTAAATGCTGCTGCCTTAACTTTTGGGGAGTGACACTTGAATAACATAACTTCTGGTCGCACAACATTGTTTCTTTTGTTTACTTTGCCAGTTAACATTAACTTAGCTGGCAGTCAGTCGA